GCACTCGATTCCCTCATCTATGTCATTGAAAAAGATATTGAAGAGCACTGGTCCCAAGAGGGACACCACTTGTGACCGGCCTCCATCCAGACATAGAGCCATTGACCACGACCCTTTGGCTGCGACCAGCCAACCAATTCTTTATCCATTAAACAGTCCATCGTTCAAATACCTCTCCAATTTAGAGAGAAGGATGTGGTGAGGGACGGTGGCAAAGTCCAAGGTAAATTACATCTGTCGCCCTTCCTTTGTCCACTGATGCTGTCACTCCATCATAGAAGGCCACCAGACTGGTCAGGCAAGATCTGCCTTTAGTGAAGCCATGTTGGCTGTCTCGGATCACCTCTTGGTCTCGTGCATGTCTTAATATGGCTTCGAGCAGGATCTGCTCCATTAACTTTTATAGTGGTTTTTATGGCACCACTCAGAACTCTGTATTTTCAACTTTGTTTTAAAAAACATAATCTAAATGATTTTGCAGTGAGAAAATGAGGATACCAAGCTTCTGGGTAAATGTCAATTCTGTTAATATTTCTGACAATGATAAATGCACATTAGAGTTTTTCATGTGTTTCAGTGAGGAGAGGAAAATGTATTTCCAGTTTCACTAAGTTATAAAGCTCTAATGCTAAGTGATTGTGTTTGGGAGAAGAGGGAAACACCCCTGGCACAAGTGGTACCATGTGCAAGTTGCTCTTTCCTAGCTGCTTTGGCCTACAGATGAAGAACAGCGGGATAAAATCCTGTCTGGGACCAGCTGGGGCAACCGGTTTGTGGGACTGGGATGTAGCATCTGGTTATTTATCAGGGGGGTGGATTTATTTTGGCAAATGTCTCTTTGGCGCTAACTTCTTAGACTTTTCCAGAGCAGCAAGTGGATGTCCACCATTTCCAGCAAAGCACACTGCAGGGCATTTGTGGCTGTACTCCTTCTGGCCAACTTCCACTAGATCGATAGAAGTCAAATGGGGATTAAAATTTGCCAGCAGGCAAAGCGAAATGCTTTCCCAGCTGTAATGGCTGTCATGCACTTGTTTCACAGAGCAAGGGCCTTCAGCACGACATTAATGTCCTCCTCTTCTCTGATCACGGGATGACAGACATCTCGTGGACAGACAAAGTGATTGAGCTGAAAAACTACATCAATATGAGTGACACCATCCAAGTGAAGGACCGAGGTCCTGTTGTGAGCCTCTGGCCAGCTCCAGAGAAGCACATGGAGGTAAGTACAGCTTATTTGTATTTATTTAGTTTTGTGTTACCTTGGATTTTTTATGACAATTCTGTCTTTTGTTTGCTCGTAACATCCAAATTTCATTCTCAGAGATGTGTGTAAAAAATCAGCCTGAGGCTCTCATCGGGGCTCAGACTTGGATCCTATACACTCTTGTAACACTGGTTTCTGAAGAAAAGTCACACCAGGCAAATTCAAAAGCATTAATTTTTACCATTGTTTGGCACAGATACTTTCTTTCAAACCCTGCCACTATGTGCTTCTGGTAAATAGCTATAAGCTTTTATCTCAAAATCCATTTTTAGGATTTTATATATATATTAGTCAATTTATTGACACTCTAGTTGGGATTTCAAATGATCTGGAGGAGGTCAAGCATTCACATTCCAGTAAACTCCCATAGAGTTTGAAGAATTAACTCCATTAGACCAGAAGTACAAAAAATGAATTTCTTACAATATTCTCCTTTCAAGACTTTTGATGAATAAGCATGTTGGATTGAATCAATCATAAAAGACCAAAGCTAGAACTGTAGGATTTTGAGTGACAAAACAATACAGACAAAAATTTGGAAAACACTGGAAAAGAATGAAAATGCAGCATCCATAACTAAAAGACTAGTACATTACAGTTGAACCAGAAACCAATGCTTGAGAAGTCATTATTGCCATCCTCAGAATACAGATGACTGGACGTACAAAATGGGCAGTTCATGCTCCAGGTGAATAATTTTGTTTTCTATATTATATTTTAGCCAGTTCCAGTACATTGTAGCTTGTGCAATTTTTTTGGAAGAGAATATTTTATAATTTTTGCACCCAGACAGTCTCTCCAGGAATTGTATAGCTGTTATATTGTGAACATTTCAAATTAGTGACAGAATTGAAAGTTGTCTTAGAGGCACGTGTAAGAAATTCACTCAAAGTTCCTGCAGAGCATCACAGTGTTTATCTATGCTCTCTTTGGCCTTAACTCAGAAATCCCTATTTTTTGTAGGCCAGACCTTCAAACAAGGGCAGGTATAAGTTGCAACTTCACGCAGATGTGTGGTTTCATCCCACAAAGCTCTTAAGCACATGCTTCTCTCTCATTAAATAGCCCAATATCCCTAAGGAGAATAAAGGACAGTGCCTTGCACCATGGTTTTGTTTTCTTCCTCTAGTTCTTTTTAGGACTTCTTACTGGCGTACTGTTTTTTTAAGCGAAATAAAGTTGATTTTTTGTTTCCCAGTAGCCAGAGTCCTCTATTCTTAATTCAATTTGACGAGCCATGTTTAGGAATTAGATCGTATCATAACCTAGTGGTTATCACCTTTAAGAGTTGTCCTATTCTGAAGTGCCAGAAGTACTGGTGAAACACCAGGGCCACTCTCTGGTCCAGGTCACAGTGGGAGAGTCTGGCTGAGTCATGCCAACGCACCCTGGTGCTGTCCTTATGGTGACTGCCTATCAAGGCAAATCTCTTGGCCGGATCTAGACACATGGGGGACGTAGCTAGAAGGCTAGTGAAGGATCTTTCATTCTTTGCAGAATCAAGCTATTTTTTCCTAAAGATTATTTCTATTTAAGCAAAAGAGCAATATACACTCTGGGGACTTTAATAACTGCCTTCTTTATGACATATGAACATCTTCTTTAGGCATTTAAAATATTTTTTCTGAATAATTGGGGGTTTAACCACATTTGTGTGGTTATATTCCAGACAGTATGATTAATATTAATAAACCACTTGTACAGCATTGTGCAGCTTCAAAGCTGCAGGCTTTGCCTGATTAATCTCATGGCATCTTTATGAGGCAGATAACTAAGCACTATCAATCCCTTTGATAGGGATTGACTGGTTAAGTGTAAGAAACATAGGTGAGGTGACATTAATTGTTCACTCAAGAGCACAAAGAGGGAATGAGTGGCAAAGGCGAAAGGCAATATCCCTTTTCCACATCTGTACCCAGTCCACATGCTGCCTTTGAGCATCTTTCACCACTTAGCTCACTGTCTCCTGTGATGGTTTGGTTTCTGTTGGTCTATCTCTGTAGGCTGATATACTCACATGCATCCATTTGTGAGTGCGTATGTTATAAATATATATAGTACATTAATTCATGTGTTCCTGTGTGTTTATGATCCAAGTTTCCAGAACCTCCTCAGGCACATCAGTGGATTTTGCACAGCCATCATCTTTGGACTGGCAAAGTCCCACTTTGAATGTGCTGATGATTACCCATTAAAGGGGATTAGCCATTTTACAAATTCAAGTGTTTCCATGTACCATAGGTGGGTATATGCTCTTTACAGCCATATGGTGTCCTAACATTTGTTTTCTTGCAGATATATCAAAAATTGAAAGCTGTGGAACACATGGATGTTTATAACGTACAGGACATTCCAGACAGGTTTTTCTACAAAAAAGGAAAATTTGTGTCTCCTCTAACTCTCGTGGCTGAGAAAGGATGGTTCATAGTAGAGGTAAAATACAGAAGCAAAATACTTCTGAATGTGAAAAGATGAAACAGATGAAAACAATAAGAAAAATGTACAATTGTATGCTAGGCATTGAGTTAAAGTGTTACATCATTTACTTGGGCTGACTACAAAACTAATGTCAAATATTGCCGTGTGCCTAAAAGGTTCTAAAGGCATGGCAGCGATGCTGAAGGTAGACAAATTTAAATGGTCAAGACAGTTCTTTTTTCTGTGTTGTCATAAAGCAGAAGGAGTTTTTGTATTTCACATTCCAGTTTTGTTGCTCCACTCCGCCTTCCCCTGCCCATCTATTTTCATCTCAGACACAAAAACATTTCCATTTCAAGACCTTACTATCTCTCCATTCAGAAGTACTTTGTGGCAACTTCTTCTGTTTGGCTTCCCATGCACCAGCCGTTTCTCCCAAGCCCTCCAGTCTCAAGAGGGTCAAACTGGGGGTTTACTCCTCAGAGATACTCAGTGCACTCTGCAAATCTCAGAGCTTCTTAAGTAGAGAATCAATTAGATTTGCACATGAAGAGATTTTTCATGCTAAATTATATTGTTGCTATGTTAGTAATAGTAGTAGTAGTAGCAGCAGCAGCAGTAGTACTTGTATTGCTACAGCTCAGAGAGTGAGGCAACCTACATATCCTCCAAGTAGGTAAATTGAGGAGCAGTACTAAATGATTTGCCCAAGGCCATACATTAAGTCAGAAATTTGGTTCCAGAATCAAGGAGTTCTGTTTTTTTTTATAGTACCCAAGCACAGACATTAGATCACATTGCCTCGCAGATTATTGTAACTCATCCGAGCATCTGCTTTCTTGACCTTCAGACATACCAGGCTTTGCTCAAGACGGTCCACACTGCCACGTTTCTCACTTGCCAACCTGTCTTTAGGATAATAATTTCTGCAGCTGAATAAAAATGCATTTCTTAAAAAGCCCAAATGCTTTTGAGTACAGATGAGTGAGCACCAAGTTTCGGGTTAAAAAAAAAAAAAAAAAGAAAAAATATATAAAAGCTGAAGTCAAGATTCAGCCTCATAAAGTAGAAATTTGAAACATTTTTTCCTGAAATTATTTTTAAAAATTACAACTAAACTCTTTTGTACAGAAGTTCAACACAGAACATTTTTACATATTCTGTAAAAAAAAGCACTTTCAAAAAATCATTGAAACTCTGACAAACCTTAATAACAGTGCAGCAAACAGTGCTGCTATGGTAATTATTTATGTCTCTCTGCCCATTCCTTCCCATTGTTTCTGATTTTCAAGAATGTCCTCTCATTAATGCTGTCAGATTTTCCTTCTCCTCAGTACGTTTTCATTATCTATGAATGGGATGTGAAAATTAAAGTTTCCTGTCATATTTTTAAAGCAATAATTGAGCCTTCTATTATACTGCTTGCCCAAACCACTGAAGAGAGGATGTTTACCTCTTTCCTATCATGCTCACAAGGTTTTTTAACTCTTTGTCGGATAGTGGATAGCTATAATCTGTTTGAAAAAGGGGGGTTTTTTGGAATATTTTTTTTTGAGAGACAAAGGGGATGTATCTGGAAAGTTGGGGTTGTTTTCCAGCGAGGAGCATAGGAACAAAAGCCCATCTACATTTCAGTTAAAGCAGCTCGAGGAGGGATTTCATGTACCTCCAGCAGTATCAAAGCTGGTCTGCTAAAGATTATCTTGTTCCCTCCACATGAGTGAGCGGTCCCCATCCTTTGAGCAGAATTTCCCCCAGCTGCTCTCCCATGTGCAACAACGGCGTTAGTCCCCAGGGCTGTGTGGTCACCCTGTACCCATCCCAGCATACTTTCCCAAGTTTTAGGGAGCAATTGCTGTGCTGCTTCTAAACACATACCTGCAGGGAGAAGTTTGTCATCAGCAATCCCAGCCATGCCTGCTGCAGTCGCCTTTGAGGAGCAGCGCTAGCCCAAGCTTAGACTGAGCATGAAAAATTAACACCTCAGTTGTGAAAGAAAGTAATAGGTTTTTTGACCCAACTAGCAGCAAAAAATAATGGAAATGGCTGTAATTTGACTGCCCATCTAGCTGCAAATAGACATCTCCTAGTGTCTGGGCGGGTGATGGAAAGGCACACCACCTCCTGTGTTTGACATTCCTGGGGAAGCAGCTGAGTCCACGACATCTGACAGGACTGTGGAGAGTTTTGGTTTCAGCAATGTCATGATAGTGCCAAAGGAACATTGCGGATTAGATGTAACTTGGCTTGTCTGGAGCTGATGATAACAAGTGCTGCCCAGGCTGTCTAACAGCGAACAGCCCCATGACAATTCATTCTGGGAACTGCAGAAAGCAGAGCCCCCGTGTAAGGAGGTGCCATGGTAGAAAGAGGGGAAGGAGTCTGTTTTCTCCTTGGCTTGCTCTGAGTGTTGTCAGTGAAATAGATGGGGACAAGGAAAGAGATTTAATTTGTTAGCCTAACTTGTTTAATTATCTGGTATATCTGCTGACTATAACATACAAAGAAACTCAAGGGATACTCCAGGGATTCTGCTGGAAAGCAGTTGGAAGAGCTACACCTCATAGCCATAATCACTGCCATCCTCAGTGTTCCTGCACACAGTCCATTTTTTTCTTGGGCAGAGAAGGAAAACAAAACCAGAGAAAATAAAGATAGAAGGAAAAGGATCCTCAGTCAGCCTGCTTCACCATCTGCAGGGGCTGCAGCAACACTTGCTTGGGGTGGGAATGTGGGAGACTTTGTCAGGGCATCTTCGGTGCTCCTGTGACAGAGAGGGTGAAGCCCAGACCTTGCCGCTTTAGGGAACTGTAGCTCCTTCTCTGTAACGATCGAAGAAATTAATGCCAGGGGTCTAACGAACTGTCAGCTGATGTTCTTTGAGTGAAATTTCTGCCATAGTTTTGGGGATATCTGGAGTGTCACATCTGCTGCTATCCCTAGGGAGCATGGGACAAGAGAAACTCAGGAAGGGGGTTGGTCCAGCATGGTGAGCAGCCCCTGGGGACCGCTGCTCCCGGAGGGGCCGGGAAGTGGCGCTGTTGTAGGTGGTCTGGGAAGAGCTGTTAATATGGAGCGGGAGAAAGCATGGAAGGGATTTAAAAGTATGACTTAAGTGCAACATGGGCAAGGAAAAACAAGAATTACAATGATGGATTATTAAAGCGTGGACACTGAGCAGGGAGAGAAAACTGCGAGCGGTCTATGGTGGCGGAAGGGGCTGAGCACCAACTGCGCTGTGCTGCTGTCTCCCAGAGCAGGGACAAGCTGCCCTTCTGGGAGAACGGGACGGGGTGGAAGGAGGCCTGGCAGAACGGCTGGCACGGCTACGACAATGAGCTCATGGACATGAGAGGCTTCTTCCTCGCGTACGGGCCAGGTACAGTGCCACTGTCCCGACGTCCCGCTCCCCTGGCAACCCCACGGCCCTGCCCCAGCCTCCCTGCAGCCCTGGTGTGTCGGGACCCCGACGTGGCTCTCTGCGACACCCAGCCACTGCAAATAGATGGCAGGATTTCCTCACTATGGCTGGATGCCGAGAAGGTTTCTAGCATTATATCTGTTTTATAGCTGGAGAAACAGGGCAGAGAGACATGAATGGATTTGGTCTCTCTCTCCAACATCCCAGAACAGTAACTCTATTGATTTGCCCTATTTTCCTAATTTTTGCCTAATTTTTGAGTTCTATTTGAAACACAAGGATTCTCTTTTTGTTGGTGGATTTAGAATCACTAGCACAGAGAACTTTCTTTGGGAAGGTTGTAGCATACCTTGCCCACCTGTCTGATGGGAGATGCAAAACCCCCAATTTCCACTTCATCAGTGGAAAACATTGCTGAGCACCAGGCTGCTGCTGCTGCAGACAGGAGCAAGAGCAGAGGAGAATGTGCCATACAATTATTTCATGCTATTAAATCCACCAAGCATACACAGTAAAGTAGCTCCTGCACTTAATAATTTATTTTTTTATTTTTTAGAATAAAATCAGACTAGAAGTAAAAATAATGAATTAAAACATTTACAATGTTTTTGATGAGCTATGCTGCCCCGCAGCACCCCATCTTTCAGGGGCTGAGCTCAAAGCCATACAACACCAACGCCTCTCCTGTTTTCTCTGCAGATTTCCGATCCAACTTCCGAGCGCCTCCCATCAGATCCGTGGATGTTTACAACATCATGTGCAGGCTGGCTGGAATACAGCCGCTGGCCAACAATGGCTCCTCGTCCTATCATGCTCCGAAACACGGCCCCTTTGGCACCGCTCCCCCTGCGTGGCAGCTGCATCCTGGTTCTAGCGCTGCTCTCCCTCTTCGCCCAGCAGATCTCCTTGCTGTGACCCCTGAACAATGTCAGTCAGTGTCACCAGCAAGTCCATCCTTCTCTTTCTGTTTTGTTTGGTTTTGGTTTTGGTTTTTTTTAGTTCTTCATTTGAATAATAACTTTATTAAGAGAGTGCTGCCCCCCACTCCTCCATCGTGCTCCACCAGGCATGAATCTGACCCATCTGCTTTTACAGAGGTTATAACATGAAGCCAGGAAAGTCAGTGTTGCTACTCTGGATTTACAGCGCTGGTAACGAGAGCAGAATCCTGGCCAGCTATTCACAAACTTTTCTGGCAGGTGTACATGAGCCTCAAATGCATCTTACCCCAGCATCTTTAACTGAGAGGCTAATCCTGGCTTCTGGTGCTGAGAAGCTCAGGGGTGGAGATAGACCTCTGTAACCTCTGTACATTTGTGTTCTTTCTGGTTTACTCCTTCATCTCCAGCAGAGCCTCACCTTCTTACAGTGCCAGCCAAGCCCAGTCTGTACCAGCATGTGCTTCAAAAAGCCAAGCTCTTTGCCAAGCCATCGTAATGCCAGGAGAGGTGGATGGGTAGGAGAGCAGTGAGAGCATCCTGCTTCTATCAGCATTTCCTTCTTCATTTTCCCCAAAGTGAACCCTAGCCCTGCACACCTCCAGCGCCAGGCTTTCCTCACAGAGTGCGATAGAGGGGAGGGCTGGGAAAGGGGAGTGCAATAGAAACAGTCCACTGCAAAAACAGGAGGAAAATGAAAAGGCATCTGGCCACACAGGGGTCATGAGAAAGTAGGATGAGGAAGCCTGGCATTTAACAGCCTCTCTGCTTTTCCTGGTGAAGGTAATACCATCTGCTCGGGTTTTGTACCCAACTGCGTTTCTAAAGGTTTTTGAACACTCACTGTTCTTCTGCCAGCTCTTGCTCTCTACACCTCTGCCTGGTGAGCAGCACATTCCCCTTTAATCTGCAGCAGGGAGAGAGGTCTACACTGATGGATCCCCTCCCTCTCAGTTAATCCTAGTTAATATTTCTGCCCAAACAAAGTTGTAACAATAAAGTTAAAAAGGAGAAGATGGAGCTGTTGTCGGAGGCAATGCCTCTGAAGGTTAAGTCAAATGGATGATGTAATCCTGAAAACATCAACACGGCAGATATATTAAATCCCTGAAAAACGTGATTTTGCCCTAGTCATTCACTCCAGCACAGCCATGGATCCATCCTGGGGCAGTGCTCAACAGAGGGCTGGTGGCAAAGCCTCCACCATGGTCTGTTAGCTCAGATTCATTTCACTTAATTGTTAAATCATCTAGCTGTCACAGTCCCTGGTGTTACGCACTGGGATGTATTTATACATGCCATGGTGGGTGATTAGAGAGGTGTTCTTTTTACATCATTAAATTTCTACTGTGAAATAAGCTCATCTAGAACAGGGCTGTAAGGGTCTGATCCTGCAAAGTGTCTTCTCCCCTTCGGGAGGCTGTGCAGTGCCTTCAGGAGTGCTCAGCACTTTGATATACCTCTGAACCAGGAGCTTTCTGTGACAAACTGCCTTTGGAAGAATTTAGGTCCCTCCCCATGCAAAGTAAACCTCTAGGACTTATTATTCCTGTGGATCCACAGTCAAGCACGATCCAGGTATGTGTGGTACAGTGAGTTAAAGGGTGAATGATTACACTGTGGGGAAAAAAAACAAACACCAAATTAAACTTGACAAAAGACTTCTGTAATAGCTGTAAAGATTTATGTAATGTGTTTTTAAATCTCAAGTGAATCATCAAATCAATTGGGGAATAAAAGGGACAAAATCAGCCTTTGTTATTAGACTGTTCGGTATAAAAGGCAATTTAGTGCTTTCAAAGCATTTGTAGTAGCTGTAAAACAAGCACCTATTGTTCAGAGTTCCCTGTTGCTCTTTAATGGACCAGGATTAATGAATTCACTGGAGCACATTTTTAAAGTGCAAAAATTATCAGTATATAAGATAACCAAATTACTGAATTATCAAGTTTTGTTTGAAAATCAACAGGATAGATACCGTCAGTGCTTGCTAATCCCTTCACAGCCTGCCATTTTAACTCTCACAGTGAACAGAACCCAAAGTCCTTTTACAGAAGAAAAGATCCTAAAAGTATAATGGTATATGCAGATACTCAGTTATACAAGCAGAAATTGGAAATAAACAAAGCAGGTTCATTGAGTTGTTCAAGGGATGGGCCATGACACACAAAACCAACATTGATCTCTGGGATTACTTTGTGTAACTCACTTTTGTCAGTGTCCACATGCAGATACTGCCGAATACATATTTTAATTGCAGCATGATTTGTTTGACCTTAATGCCAGCATTGTGTTTACAGCAATACACCTCAAAAGATACTTGAACTGTAAAAGGGAAGTTTGACAGTAGACCTACAAGAAGCTCATTAGCTTCAGGAGAACTACAGCTGATTATTTTTTGAGAAGTGCACCTTTCTTCCTCAGAAATGTTGTACCTCTGAATCAGTTCACATTCTCATTCAAAAATCAAGTGTCTTGACTCTACCCTATTTTTCTGTATACTATGCAATGGAGGTGGGTGTATCTTAAAACCTATTTCTGAATGATGATTTTGTACAATGACTGATTGTGAATGAGTGAATAATTCTAAGAATGCTGTTAGAAAAAGTATGCATAATTTTGTAAATATGAATGATTTTTTTTAAAAAAACCCCACCTCTGTAGCACCTTGCCTTTCTTGTTTGATTGCTGCATCAAAGTGTGATAAACAGTGTTTGAAGCTTGTGCTGATTAATCATCAGAAAGATGAATTATAACATTGTTTAGAAACGGCAAAGTTGTCAGCATGTGAATTAGGGACATTAAATACATCACACAAGATACTGTAGCTTGTACACCCAGTCCTTTTTTTTTTGCAGATGTGTTTCAATATTTAACCTTTTGAACATCCATCCAGGGACATGTAATTCACAGAAGCAATGGACATGACAAACCATTTTGCTCTTCTAAGAAGAGATGTGAGCCTTGGATGCTCTCTGCAGACCCGCTTCTCCAAGCCCACCTTGTTACCATCACATCAGCTGCCTGCACAGAATCGGGTGCATCATCACTGGTACCAGGGTTCAGCACAGTTCGGGCTTTCTGGAGCCCTGGCAGTTTACCCCACTTCCCAGCACAGGGCGGTGAAAATGGCAACGAGACCTCAAAAACCAACACCAATGGCCTCAAGGAGAAGGAGCCCTACTCCCACTTTAAGCTCTGCAAACCAACAACAGCTCATGGAACAGACTGATTTAATAGAAATAAGTCTCCAACCTACTCTGTGGAATTTCTCTTGTTTTCTTTATGTGAACTGACCACAGTGGCAGGGTGGGGATGATGGAGGAGAAGCCAAGCCTGGGAAAGCAGTGCAGGTACACCAGTGAGTCCTTTAATTCACAGCAGGAGTCCCTTTGAACTGGCAGGACCACCAAGGTCTGCCCAGAGATGCTTCCCCCCTCCCACATCCCATGGACATGGGTCCCGCGAACAGGAGGGTGCTGAGGGACTGCCTGCATGGGGACAGCATGGAGTCAGTCACCCAGAGCTCCCCATAACAGTGCCAAAAATGGCAACTTCCCACCTAAACAAGCTGAGCCTTTTTTATCAATGAGCTTGCGACTGTGTAAATGCGATGGCTGGCCAGGTGTGATGGGTTAGCCCTTGGCTGGGGGCGAGAGCCAGACCCACAC